ATATATATATATATATATAAGTGTATTTTGACCAGCTTTATATTATAGAGATATGAGTTTATATTGCAAATAGTTTCATAAGTAATGAAACCTTAAAATTAGCATGAATATTGAGTCTTTTTTTATTGAGTCTTTTATTAACATATTTCTGAATATGATATCTTTGATATTTTTGAATATGATTTTGAATATGCAGTAGTAAATTGATTTGAGATATTTTACTACAGCAGTATAGACTTTCTCTCAAAAAAAAAATTTTGGTAAAAAAAAATCTTTTAATATCTTTCTAATAGTAAAAATAGAATCTTTTAATGTTTTTAAATATCTTTTGAATAAATATTTATGACACCAGTCAAGAAAAAAAAATAAGTGAGTTATATCACGGATATTATAGTATGTTTCGCTAAAAAAAAGAAGCTTGCGAAGCATAATAATCAACAGTTTTTTTTAAAAAATAAAAATCCCTCATTTAAAATTCCAATAACAGCGTTATATTGCAATAAAAAAATAAAAAAAACTGACTATATTTTTACGGAGCTTGATAGTCCACGGTCACGCAAGTTTGTTGTGTACTCTTACCAAATGGATATTTACTTACTGGAAGAAAATGTTTGTTTAAAGATATAAACTACCTGGCAACAAGTTTACTTACGTTTAATGTCAACACGTACTGATGAGTTATTTGAGCCAACGTCATTTTTTGCCGAACACGTGTAAGTGCCAAGATGAGTTCTTTTAATATGCATAAGGTGTAAGCTTCCATTTTTCTGGAATATCGTGGGAGAGTTTTCAATGGGCTGCCCGTCTAAAAACCATTTTTTTTCATTTATCGTGGGATTTGCATTAACGTCACAAAGAAGAACAACGCTGCTGTTTTCTCCACTCGACTTCTGGATGCTCCGTATTATTTTTACAGTCACATGGGGTTTGTCTGAGAGAAAGAAAATAAATAAAATTGAGTTGTGTTTAATTTTAATTAAGATTAATTAAGTTTTGAAATACCTGCTTAAGCATTAAATATTTTTTATAGACTTGCGAATACCGTAAACTAAATGTAAGACGAAATTAGTGGCGATCAATCATTATTCTGTCGTGCAAATAATAAAAAAGTTCCTCATGGTAGATTTCGAGAATAGGGACTTGACTTGAATATTTGCTTTCCGTTGATAATGCTGCGAACACAAAAATGGAATTTTGAAAAAATATGCCGATAAAACCAAATTTTTATTTGAAGGAAAAAAAATTGTGCTATAAGAAGCTTATGCATAAATGCAAAATGCATAAAAATCTCAATTTTGAATTTTTTGTTACTCACGTTAATTTTTCTCTTGCACGTATTTACATTTTACAAACATACCGAACGCAATCTAGTAAAATTACCGTACTGTATGGTAATGGCATTTCTGGTAAAAAATAAGGACATAACTCTAGTAATGAAACCTAAATATACGGTATTTAAAACATTAATTTTGTAAATTGTCGGCTTTAATGACACAGAGAACTAGAAATTCTGGTTTTAAAAATTATAGTTCTTATTACCACACATTTCACAAAATATACATACAAAAATAAAAACTGAGTTTAATCTAATAAACAGTTTTTAAGCCAGGTTCTAAGGTTTTAAAATAAAATAAAACTACAAAATTTTAGATTAATTAACAACTTTTATCGCAGATAATAAAACAATATTTTATTATTCATTTTACCGAAATCATTACCGAAGTGCTTTGGTAAAAACTAAGGAGGTCTATGGTGTTCCCACAGAGCAAAAACATGGCAATTTTACCATATTCTGGTAGTTTTGACTAAACTTTCTTTCTCAGTGTAACCTGGTAAAATCATCTCAACAACTTTTCTTTTGCCCTCACTGATCACTAAGGCTATTGAACTAGGTCAGAAATTTTAGCAAACAGTACATGTTAATTTTAGCCATCAAAATATTTATACTTCTACAAAACCTTAAAAGGGCGTTAGATTAATAAGATATTTAGTTATATAACAAATCATTACTTCAAATTGTGATAAAACATGTGTATCGTTATAGTTTCAAAAGTGTATTTATATTATTGAAATTAATTTTTATATGAGAAAGAATATATTCCTGCAGATTACTGTAATTATTCTTAATTCAAAAATTAAAACTAAATTTAAATTTAAGAATTTTTTTGTTGATCTAAGTAAGCTTTTTAATCATGGATTTAATATGGACTTCTTTTTCGTAATACAGATTTCAGATGATGTGGTGATATGCATAATTTTACACATTTTTGTTATGAAATAATCAATGTTTGTTATTTATTACTCGTCTTAGAAATATAAAAATTGCTTTATTTAAGAAGAAGATACATGCAACCAACTTTTTTTTTGTAAACAGTTATGCATTAAATGATAAAAATTATTGAAAAAAATCTATATTAAAACAGAAAAAAATGCAATCTTGCGAAGGATTTCTTTAATTTCAAGGATCTCAATATCCTTCTGTTTTTTCGTTCGACAAATTTCGGCTAAATGGACGAAAAATGACATTTTACTTAAATGCATAAATATTGTTAGAAATAGCGTTGAAATAACATTAAAACAACGCTATTTAACAGACATGTCCATTTATACATGGTTTCTTGAATACATTTCTTTGAAAAAAACATGAAAATGTCAAAATATATATATGCGATGAGCACAATTTTCGAATGTTTCAGGTTTAGTTTTGATTATAGTAAATTAATTGCTTAGAAAAACTGATATATGTCCCCCGTAACTGTGTATTTAAGTTTTTTTTAATTTTTTATTTAGAAGTTAGGGATATTTTTCTGTACTTAATGTTAGCATTTTGTAAGGATAAAAATTGTGTTACTCTTTACTTTTGTTACAAATCTAAAACAACAGTAATATTTATGTAAGCAACTTAAAAAAACGATATTTTTGATTTTAAGTTCATTTTGTAAACAGATTTACGTACAAAACACTAACTGCCTATGCTAAGTCAAACAAGTTTCGTTGCTTTGCTGACTATGTTTTTACTGATATTATCCGATGTCTGAATTTTCCGCTACATTATTCAACGTTGATGTGACGTGCTTACTTTTATAATTGTATTATTATGCTTATTTATATTGTGCTTATTTTTATATCTATTATTGCTATTATTTATATCGTGCTTATTTATATTTTAATAAAAAACATCAATGTTTAATTAAGAAAAACGTGAATTATAAACGAAAAAAATTACCATCGCTGGCAAAAATACTGCAAATTAACAAAACCATACCATATGATTCATAAAAAAATAAGTTAGATGGTATTATTTTAACATAAAATTTATTTAATTCTTAAAATAAAAGAAGCGAAACCATTTATTTGTTAAAACAAGTCATTAAAAAAGACAATTGCATATTAAATGATAAATTTATGGTCAAAAACTATTAATGCGTTTACCGTTTCAGAATTATTCAAACAGTAAAAAAGAAGTTTGTTGAGTGACATAATGGCCAATATCGATTATTATTACAGTAAATGCAAAAATAATACCGGATGAAATTACGGTATGAAATTTCACTTTGAATGCATTAACCGTGAAATCCATTTAACCGTAAAATATCATACGGTACTTTTTACAATAACATTTTTTTAATTAGGGTAATACAGTGATTTTACAGTAATCATTACCGTAATCATTACAATAGGAATGACGATACAAAAGATTTTTTGTTCCGTAACATGCTTCAGTCTACGGGAAAAAGTGCCGGCATTCTAAAAGCTGGTATTTTACCGTAATTTGATCCAAAATTTTTTACAGTGTGCATTCTGTTGAAATCAGTATCTTTACTAACACGAATTTAAAAAAAATCTTGAAATAATGAATAAATTTTAAGTTTCATTACTATTAAGCAATATAAACAAATACAGTACTCACAAATGACATTTAAGACGCATTCCTCTTCCAAAGTGTAGTTTAGTATATTCGGATTTGTTGCTACGCATTTCACTTTTAGTCCATTATCTTCTTCAGAAATAAGACGATGGAAGAAGCTTATGGTTACACTTCCTTTATTTTTAATGATAGTTCTTGGTGAAGCATCATATGTTTCATTTATAAACCATTGAATAGAAGCTTTGGGGTGTGATCCATTGCATGTGCATGTTAATTGCAAAGTAGAACCAGCGATTAACGGCTGTTTGAAATTGCTTTTCATCAAGATGTTTGTTGGTGGAACTGTAAAATAAGCTGTTAAAGGTCTTATACGTATTGCAAGTTAAAAAAAATGTCTGTCAAAAAAAAAATAAAAAAAACATTATTTTTTTAAAAAAATATTTCATATTATAAAAATAATTTAACTGGATTAATTTATTAGTTAGACATTTTTAGAGAAATTCACCATATTATGTATTATACACGCTCATTGAGGTATTCATTATCATGAAATAGCATATTTACTTTTGAATATAACATTATAACATTTTGAATGATGAGATGTTAACTTTTATTCAGCATCTCAACATAGGCATAATTCCTTTTAACATAACTAAACCACTTTTATTAGATGCTTTTAAAAGTTATTGATTTAGTTCTATACCTTTACAATTATAAGTAATCGGGACTTTCTTATAGTTCTATTTCGCGCTCAGAGTAGTCATATCAGAAAAAAAATTTTAATGATTTCATTTTTAGCATCCACAAAATAATTTTTTAGTGAGAGTTATTGATTTTTTTCCTTTTTATCAGACAAAAAAACATTTGACGAAAGTTTATAAAACAATATTTTGTTTCCTTTTGTTAATAGACTAGAAAATGTATGAAGATTTCTCATGAAATGCGATTAAAACAATTTTCATTAATACGCTAAGGAACGCTATTAATACGCTAAGGAAGAGACAGTAAAATTTATAATTTCCCACATTTTCTTTTTTAATGAATATGAATTATTTTATTTTTATCTTTTGGAATTTGACACTTGGATATTCCAGTTACTATTTATAAAATATTTTTAATAAATATATTTATTAATTTCATGCGTTAAATGAGAAGACAAAACCGTGGAACGTTTAATTCAGGAAAATTTAATTTTGCCGGTGACTTATTTACTTAAATACATAAAAGAATTAATTTTGGTTTGAAACAAAGCTTAATGGAATAGAATTTCATTTTAAATGAGGGAAAAAAATTTCTTTGCTTACTTTCCATTAAATATAACTAGATTTAAAATCTTGAGATTACGATATTTTTTTAAATATGTATTCAGTATTCTAAATTCTCTAAATATCATCAGTAATTAACTGAACACAAAATGTAAAAGTCCATTTTTTTAGAAACATTTTTTTTATAAATATGACGAAGACTAAATATATGCATTGAGCGGGCATTATTTTGCTGAAATATATTAATAAATACTACGCAAAACATTTAGTTCAGAAATAAATCTTAATTTAAATATTAAGTGAATGACTCCAAAAACGACGTAAATATTTAAAAGCGATGTAAATTTCAACCAAGGATGCTTTTCTCATTATAATATTTTTTAAGTACGCAGAGTCGAATAAATTAGATAAACTACAATTAAATAGCTTTTGGGAAGCATTTTCATCGCCGTAAAAAACATGCATTCTTGGTAAATTTGATTTCGTGTTTATTTCATCCGAATATTCCAGACACGCACGTCGTTTAAATTCTTTCATGAAATATTAATATCCAACTTTTTACTCTCACATGTAATCGAATAACGTAGCTTTTTCTACTTTAAATTCCAACATTCTCTGAAAAGTAAATACGCATGCATGTTTTAATTTTATTTATTCATTTTAATTGAGATTTAATGCAATAAAGGTTCTATATTAAATTTACTACGTTTAGCTAATTGCTTGTTTTTGTATGAATCGTTTTTTATACAAAATGCGGTTTTGCTCAATTATTTTTTTATGTGTGCAATTCAAAGAGAAATTAACAGTTATTGTTTCTAATTTATTATTAAAATTATATATTAACGGAACGTAGTTTATAGCAGAAACCATAAATTTTAAAATCCTTAAAATGATCAGAAAAATTGATATCATTAATATGATTATAGCTTAAGGAACGGGAAAGAAGTGGAAACCGACATATAAAAGTAATGGGAAGTTTGAGAGGTTATTACAAGCTACACTTTATTACTGATTTAATAAGTTTTCTTGTCTTTTTTGCCAAATAATCATAATACATTCATTGGATATAGGATGTAGCAGCGATATCATATTTCAAGTATTTAATAAGACTGAGAAACTAACATCAATCACAGACTTTGATGCCATTATAGGCATTGCATATTTCCTAGCTTTTAGATGTCTTTAATTTCACAAAATTAAAATTTTTTAATCATTCTTGCTTCAATTTTAATTACATTAAATAAATTATTTAATTATTTTCACGCCTGTTAAAAAGCGAATATAAATATTTTATACTCTTCTTAACAATCAGTGTAATGGGTAACTTTTTAATTCAATACAAGTAACTCATTAATTCCAAATCGCGACTAAATCGAACAATAAAATATATTTTTAACTCTATGCTGCTTTATTTCTCTAACCACGCAATTGTTTCGGTAGCAAGGTTACATTAATTTATCAAGGTATTTTTGGTGATTAAGCTGTAGCCAAACTATTTAAAATTTATTAATAATAACGTGGGGTTGGCTTTGTTTTTGGCTAATTAATCTATCAAAAATGGATCTATGAACCTCTAACAGGATGAAGCACAGCATCAACAGCAGTATATTTGAATGTTTGTGAGGTGCCAGGAACATTGACATGAATCACATAATTGTAACTTAGAAAAACCAGCAAAAAAAGGGAAACATATCTTTCAATGTAAGAATTTGTTTATATACATATATATTAAAAAAATATTTGATGGAAATAAAATATTTTGATTTCTTTTCTAATATATTTTTGAATTAAAAATCTCAAAGATGCTCTGTAAAAATTGTGGTTTAACCCGAATTCAGTGTAGAAAGATTCCGAAAACTGTGTGAAATTACTTCACATTAATACCGAATCGAGATTAATACTCACTTTAAAGGGTGTAGTTAAATCTTGTTATCAATAATTGGTAACGCTTACTTCAAGCTTAGATGCATTTACTCCTTTCATAAATTATTTCCGTTTTTCTTTTGGCACATTTAGAAACCGTCATAGCAACGACACATTGTTCACAAATCAGCAAAGATGTTCAAAATGTGTTTTCACTTCCCGCGAACCAAAACTGAATATTCTACAGGAGCAGAAGTAAATGTTTCATAAAGATATGCATAGGTTTTTAGTTGTATAATGAAGATAATTATGTTAGGATTGGTGTAGAAAAAATATTGGTAACAAATAAAATAGTTTTATTTTTTTTCAGCGTATTTTTGAACTTAAAATCTCTAAGTGCTACAGGTAGTATTTGAATCCTAGTTAAAATGCTCTGAAAGTGTTGATTAAATGTTTAAAAAATAGGGCACAAAAGTTTGCAAATCTAAATTTCGATGCCAAATTCACAGTTCAGTGATCTTTTAATATTTTGATATGTCCGTTAGATTTCAATTCGATTATAATAGAGTAGATCATATCAGGGATATGGAAATAAAACTAGATTACTCTAAAACACCGGGTTTGGCACCTTAAATTAAAGAAAAATACTGATTTTCTTTTCAGAATTGCTAAGTTCGAAAATCAAACTACGTATACGTTTATATTTAGAGGCAATAATTTAGATTATTTTAAAACTATAACTAGATGACTTAATTATACAAAAATATAAATGCAACTCTAAATCGAAAAAAAAAATCATTATTCAGTTTTGGTAGAGTATATCCGCAATATTCTACTGGTAAAAAGGTGATGATTTCCGATATGATTGAGAATTAGACACATACCGTAAACCGGGGCGAGTCTACCCATTTTAGTCTTATTTAATTTTCACTATTTTAAATTGCAAATACAATTTTTTTTACAGACGGAGGACTTAGTTCAGACTCTAAGGAAGATGGCGCTGTAGTAGTTTGATCCGTTTTTATGTATTTAGTGTCTTTTTAACCGACGTGTTCAAACGTCTTTTGAGAGATTTGTATTGAAAATCAGCAAACCTTTAGTTGGTGCTCCGTAAGTATATTATTATTATTACTATTTTCACTTTGGTTAAGTGATAAACTTATCTAAGACTAAGATTACATTAATTTTATATGAAAAAAAACAAAAAGAATGTAAGTTTTGCTGTTGTAAACAAAAAGCCAGAATTCGCGGGGCGAGTCTACCCATTCGTATTTAGTTTTAATAAAGCATAATAATATAATTTAGAACTTTGTTTATATTAAAATTAAGTCATTTTAAATGAATTTGAGTATATTATTTTAATTCTGCATTGATAAATTTATCATTAATAAGAAAATTTATAGGTTAAATATAAATGTAAATATAAAATATGTTTATTTTACCTATTTTTTCAATTTTTATATTACAAAATTAACTTTTTTTATTTAATGCAAGTTAAATAAATTATTATTTATAAATTATTATTACCTCCCAAAAGAATGGGAAAAGGATTTTTCATGATTCCCAATGTTTGAATTTCGATTTTGTTAATAATCTTTAATTATTATTATTTATTAATTATTTAATTGTAAATTTATATTAATTTTAATTTATTTTTATCAACAATAATCAGAAAAAAATGTTATTTTATAATGTTAATGATTATAAAAACAAAACTGTGATCAAAATGTGATAATCGATCAAATACTCAATTTGTGTTATTTTATGAATAAAAAAATGGAATATATAATAAAGTTATGAATTTTACTTCATAAATATCCTATATAGTAACTAAAATAACAATTTAATAGTAAAATTTGATTATTTACAATGTTAACATTCATTTTAGTAGAATGTGTAGACTCGCCCCATACGAGAGATTTGTCAGCAGTTCTATAAAAATATACAGTAACAGCGTAACTGTTAATATTTTCTAAAATCGATTTCACAGCTTTAAAGAAGGATAAATAGCGATTCCGAAACACCTATTAAAAGCCTTTTTTCATTAATATTTACAAAAGTTTGACCACTTGAAAGTTGACAAACTGAAAAAATGAGTAGACTCGCCCCTCTTTACGGTAGTTAAATAGTTTTCAGACGTTAAAAATTTAATTATTTTAATTTAAACTAGCCAAAAGTCTTTTACGATAAACTTAAACCATTCTTTACATAACA